AAGGATAAAAATGAAGAATAGTAAGAAAGGGATAAAAATTCTAATGAAGATAAATGAAGAGAAATGACCAATCAGAAATGTCAAAAACTTTGTCTCATGTGGTCTTTAAAGGAAAGAATATCCAAGAAAAAGTCTATAATATATTGAAACAAAGATTGCGTTAGAAAAGAAAATTGAAAATTGAAATATATAAAATTTGCTACTATCCTGCAACAGTTAACGAGAGAGAGCAATTTTAATTCAAAAGAAAATATCAGTTGTAAAGTTGGTAAAGAAATGTAACGACAGGTAATAGAAAACAAGAAATATATAAAAAAGATATAAAACAGCATCAATAATGAAGTGAAAACAAATGTGAAGTAATGAAGGAAATGGTTAAAGTAAATATGAAAGGAAAATTGAGTACAATTTATATCAAAATTGTATATGAATCTAAGGTAGAACGATATTTATAAAGAAAGTGTCGGTAGTCAAATAATGACAGGAAAATAGTTAACGGAAATAAGCGTTATGAAAGGAAATAATTAGATAGAGTAAATCAAAACTTAAGAATGTATATATCGAAAATGACAGTAGCAAGGTGAGAAAAAAGATTGTCGTAAAATAATTTATAATTTTTATACTTTACTTAACAAAAGGAAGAAAGAAAAATGTATATCGGAGGAAGGACAAGATGATTAATTCTAAAAGAAACGATATTTTTATTGAAAACTACTACCGTTAAAGAGAATACTATGTGTTGGTTGTGGCGTAGTAATCTGAGTCATTCTAAAAATAAAGTCCTCTCGGCTCAATCGCAAAGCATGATTTCGATTTATATTATTCACAGATTCTGCCAAAGTTGTGAATTGATCCCTTTGAAAGGCAGTTGAATTATTCCAGATATAATCCGTTGCCAGACTAATTATATGTCTGTTATACATGCGTAATCGATTAGCCTCTCGTTTTACGTTTCGTTTTAACAAAGTTTGTCCGATTATATTTGGAATATTTCTAACACATCTCATCTGAGCCGCAAGAATCTGAGCGTTACTATTAAAAGGTAGGTAAATTCTATGATAATTTATACGTGATAAAAAATAATATAATATAGAATGTGTAGAAATATTACAATTTCTTCT